TGCCCCAACCCCCCAATCGGCCTTACCCTGAGCGTGACTGAGGGTGGCATCGCAACCTCCCAATCTGCCCTGCTCTGTGCTGTGCATGACAGGGGAAGGAGCCCCAACTCCCCAATCAGCCCTGCTCTGAGCCTGACCAGGGGCTGCACCTAGGGATTGGGCCTGCCCTCTGCCACCCGGGAGCAGGCCTAAGCCAGCAGGTCATTATCTCCCGAGGGGTCCCAGACTGCGAGAGGGCACAGGCCGGGCTGAGGGACCCCCCCCCCTTCCCCCAAGTGCACAAATTTTTGTGCACCGGGCCTCTAGTCCTCTATAATAAAAGCCTAATATGCTAAGTGTATGGTTGGCCATTCAACCAATCAAAGTGTAATATGCTAATGATATGCTAAGGGTGCTCAACCACTTGCTATGACATGCACTGACCACCGGGGGGCAGACACTCTGATCTGTAGGTTAGCTTGCTGCTGGGGTCCGGCTGATTGGGGCTGAGGGAGACAGGCTGGACACACCCTGGCGCCCTCCTGTGGTCCCTCCCTGGCTGGCCAACCCCCTGCATTCCTCCCCTTCCCCGATCGTGCACCTGTGGGGTCCCTTGGCCTGGCCTGTGCCCTCTCACAATTCAGGGCCCTTTCCGATGTTTCACTATTAAACAAAGCTGCAGCAAAAAGCTTGCACATACATCATTTTGCAAGGTGGGGGCCTCTCCTGCCTCCGTGGCAGCACTAAGGATGTCTGACTGACGGTTTAGGCCCCCTCCCCCAATGGCTCCTGGACTGCGAGAGGATGCAGGCCAGGCTGAGGAACCCCTCGCCCCCTGCACCCCCAAGTGTATGAATTTCATGCACCAGGCCTCTAGTAAAAAAAATATTTTTAAAAAACACCCTGATTTTAGAACAAGGGTTCTTAACTGGGGTCTATAAACCATAACTATACACTAATTCAGAGGCCATGAACTTGGATTGATACTACAGCTTGGGTCCCACTCACCTGCGTTTGAACCCAGGCGGCGACTCCCCGTGTCGGTGGTGCCGGCACAGAGCTGTGTCCCCTCCCTGCACAGGGATCCTGAACGTCACCCACCCATCTCCACTTCACACCGAGACTGTGTTAGGCTCCCCCAGCTCTCGTTATGCAACATGTTAACAACGAAAATGTGTCTCCCAACATCACACACTTAAACAAATATTTCCACAGTCCTATCCCAACATACCTAGCTTGCTGTGCAACCCTGTGTGTTTTATTTTATTCACATGAAAATGTTATTTTGAGAAGGGGATCCATGGCCCCCCAAATGTCAAGAGCCCCCAGCCGGAGGGGCCTTGCTGACCTCCGGTCCAGAATGCGGGCAGTGGGCAGCGGGCAGAGGCTCTGCGGGAGGAGCCAGGCCGAGCCCCACCTGCCCCGGGAAATCTGGGGAGGGGTGGAAGGGTGACTGCCAGCCCACGGAGACCCGCCGCTGAGCTGCCGCCCTTGGGCCTCGCTGCCCGTGAACAAGGGGGTCACCAGCCTCTGAGCTTGGAGGGCAGGGGTGAGGGAGGGTGAGGGGAGAGCCCGAGCTCACTGTGGGGTCAAGGGAGGGGCGCGCCCAGCTTTGGTTCTCAGGGGGTTGTTTCAACAGAACTGAAGGACACAGAGCCCAGCGTGGGGAGGGGCAGGGACGTCTCCCCCCTCAGCTGACACTGCTTCATGGGCCAGGTGAAAGCTGGCCTCTGCACCCGGGCTCTCCGCTGGAGGGCAGATCCTCCTGCCTCTCCATGGCTGCCCCACATGGGAGCAGGGCCACCCCCGCACCCACCAGGCAAGCCCCGCCCTGGGTGACCCGGGGGCCAGGCCCCAGCTGCCTCGGGAGAGGAGCTGAGCCTTCGAGCAAGGACACCTTCATCTCACTAAGGTGGGCGTCGAGGCCACCCGGTGTCACCGACTGTCCCCAGTCCCTGGGGCCGGCTTCCTTCTCTCGAAGTCCTTTTGAGCTGCCCCACTGGCCACAGGGCAAAGCCCAGCCTGTCCACCGAGGACTGGGCGCACGAGGCCTGCCCGCGGACCTGCAGGCCAACTGAGAGGCTGCCTGAGCTGGAGCCCCCAGCGCCCTCTGGCCATGTGCCCACAGGTGAGGCTGGGACCCAGGGACCCCCACCCGCTGCTCAGCACCCTCCCTCCCTTCGGGAAACTTCTCAGGCTTGAGGTCAGTATAGGGAAGGGGCTGAAGCAACCGCAGAAGTTTCATTCCGGGATGGACTGGAGGCCGCTGAGTGATGATGGAGAGGAGCCTGGGAGCCCGGGGCCTGGGAGCCCGAGCGCCTAGAGATTCTAGGGGGCGACATTGAGGTGCAGGCCGGCCACCACTGCTGCTTCCCGCTAGCTTCTCGGCTGCTCTCCACACCATGCTGGTCTAGTCCGGGCAGAGAAATGACCAGCAGGACCCGGCACATCATTCATTCATTCACAGAGCCCTGTTCCCAGCAGGGCGCCCAGTGGGCTGGGGAGAGGAGACAGAACAACACATTAGACGCCACACGCAGGGCCTGGGCGGAGGGAGATGGGGGAGGGAGGCTGAGGCTCAGTCCTGGAGAACAAGGAGGATTTTCCTCAGGGAGAAGAGAGATGACCGGCTCCTGTGCAGAGGCCCTGAGAGCCCAGGGTACGGGGACCGTGCGCCGGGCTACGCTGGGCTCTGTGTGATGCTGCTGGGGAAAGCGGGGTCCTGTGGGTGAGCACATTCAGGAAGTCTGGATTAAGCCAGGCTGAGGTGCAGGCCTTGTCAGAGCCTTTAACCTGTTCCTGTGCAGGTGAGTCGCGGGGTATCCAGGACTCGTGCTCCATGGCAGGCCACAGGGCGTGGAGGCAGGGGAGGCAGGGAGTTGGTGGGGTCAGAGACAAGCACGGGGCTTCGGATGCCAGGATCGAAGGTGGGCTTTCCCCTGGGGCCAGCGAGGAGCCTCAGAAGGAATCAGCGGAGGGATTGAGACTCAGGATACCGGGGGCAGTTTAGTGACCAGCGAGGTCAGGGCAGCGGCAGGACATGGCCAGCCCCTCGCACCACCCACTCCTCCCTGGCTGACAGCAGGGCCGCTCGGTGGGAGAGAGGAATCCGTGCACACAGGCAGCGGGGGTGGGGGTGGGAGTGGGGGGGCGCGCCCAGAGCCGGGCTAGAAGGGAGGTGCCGCAAGCCCTGGAATCCAGGTGTGGCAGAAGAGCCGGCGGGGCTCCAGGCTGCTCCCAGTCCCCCTCTTCCCGGCTGGGGCTCTGGCTGGACCTCCTAGGGAAGGGGACATTATTTGAGGCTTTAAAAAAATACACATTTTAGAGCAGTTTTAAGTTTATGGAAAAATTGTGCCCCAGGTGCAGAAGGTTCCCTGTATTCCCTCCCTGTCCCCACAGTCCCGCCCCCCGTTATTAGCAACTCGCATGCGTGTGGCCTGTTTGTTAGTTGATGCACTCGCTTCGGTCCATCATTATTAACTGAAGTCTGTGGTGTACATGACGGTTCACTCTGTGTTGTACGTTCTATGGATTGTGACACGTGCGTCACGCCAGGTCCCCAGCATTACAGTGTCACACAGAATAGCCTCGCCGCCCCGACTGCCCTGTCTGTGCCCGGTTTTAACATCTGTAAGATGTGAGCGCAAGGCTCATCCAAACCCCTCAGCCTCCCCCTGCAGGTTCCTCATTTAGGCCTTTGACAAATTAAAGGGCTCAGAAATCAGCTGCCTCTCTAAATATGGCCTGATACCGATCAGAATCGCTAGGCTCGGGCTGAGGGGAAGGGGCCCGCGTTCCAACAATCTAGGGCAGCGGTCCTCAACCTGTGGGTGAGACCCCTTTGGGGGTCGAACGACCCTTTCACAGGGGCCGCCTAAGACCATCGGAAAACACATATATAATTACATATTGTTTCTGTGATGAATCACTATGCTTTCATTATGTTCCATTTGTAACAATGAAATTGGGGGACACCGCAACATGAGGAACTGTATTAAAGGGTCACGGCATTAGGAAGGTTGAGAGCCACTGTTCTAGGGGCTCCACCCCAGACCCCTAAATCCAAACCCCTGGGTGGGGCCCAGGAAGGTGCACAGGGAAGTTTGAGACCCGCTGGGCCCAGGGCAAGAGCGACATGGCCAGCTCCTGACTGCGCGTGGGGGTTTGTCCTACCAGCTTCCCAAACCTGAGCAGAAGGGTCCCGGCCGCCGTCAGGTTAGGGCTGGGCAGAGACGGACATTCCCAACGGGGAGGCGCAGAGCAGTGCTCTGTAAAGCCTGGAAAAGCCCGTTTCCGGCTCGCAGCTCCCAGTCAACAGGCCTGCTGGTCTCAGGTCTTGATTGGCCATCACCCCCGCCCCCCTCGCCCCCCCCAAATAGCCTGCGTGCTGTCTCTCCAGCTGCGGCTGCCTCCACAACTTTCTTAACTTAGCAGCCGAGCATGTGGGCTCCAACACGAGCGCCCGCCGGCGGGAAAGGGCCCTCCTTCCCTGGTGGCCATCTCGAGTGGCTGAATAGGGTTGCCCCAAAGTCCTGTCTACCCAGAACTCAGGAAGTGCCCTCACTTGGAAGTGGGCTCTCTGCGGCTGCAATGAGGAAGGATTGAGATGCAATGACACGGGTGGACCCTACATGGAATAGCTGGTGTTCTTCTAAGAGGGGAGGACAGACAGACAGACAGACAGACACAGGAGAAGGCCCCGTGAAGACAGAGGCAGGAAGTGGACGGAGGCGGCGACAAGCCAAGGGCACCAAAGATCCTGGGAGCCACCAGAGCTGGAAGAGGCGAGGAAGGATTCTCCCCGAGACCCTCCGTGTGGAGGGAGCACAGCCGCCACCTTGGTTTCAGACTTCAGAATCGCGACAGCACACGCTTCTGTTGCTCTGAGCAACCAGCTTGTTTTGTGGCCATTTGTTCCGGCAGCCCGAGAAGTGGACACGCCATCACTGATGCGGACCGACCCGCTCGGCCCACCCTCCTCGCCCCACTGCAGGCGAGAAGAAAGGACCCCACACAGAGGCGACTGTCCCCACAGGCATTTAATGTGGCCGGCCGCAGTCGGAGGTATTTCCTCCAACCAACATCTCTCATTCTGCCTCGAACAGGCCTGTTGCCTACACAGAACGGGGCCCTCTGTCCTCTGCTTGGGAGGCTGCAATCCACGAGCATTCAGCAGTGACGGGTCAACACTGGTCCTGGGGCAGAGGCAGGAGGGGTCTCCGTGGTGGTTCCAGGCTCAGCGAGGGTCCGCTGGGCCCTTCACTACAGCTTCATGCCGCTCCGGCGCCGCGAGTCCTTCCTGGCGATGGGGCTGAAGTTCACGATCTCCTTGTAGATGTGCTCTGGGAAAAGCAGGGGGGCTCAGGTGGGCAGGGGGCTGAGGGAGAAAGAGCCCGTCCCCAGTCCCCCGTCCCCCAACCCGCAGACACAGCGGGGAGCAGTACGGCAGCCCAGGGAGGAGGAAATGCCCGAGCTGAGGGCGGAGGCATGGTCTCCAGGGGCAGAGGGGCAGAGGCCAGACAGGAAAGCAGAGGCGAAGCACGGAGAGGCTGCGGCAGCGGGAGGGCCCGAGCCCCAGCACTTACGCTTCCATTCGTCCACCGTTAGTTTCTCGTGCTCTAAGGAATCATCGAATTTCGGGGCCTCCGTCTCCTCCTCGGGGTCCCGGAAGGGTTCGAAGAAGGGGTGGGCGAGGGCCTGCGAGGCCGTCACGCGCTTGTCCACGTCCAGCTCCAGCATCTTCTCCAGCAGGTCTGCGGCTGCGGCAAGAGCAGGAGCCTCGCACCCAGGCCTGGGGGAGGCCACGCCCCCCCCGCACCCCCAAACACACACACACAGGGGCAGAGGCCCAGCCCGACTCACCCTGGGGGCTGGCGCTGGGGAAGAGCTGAGAGAAGTCCTTCTTGGGGCTCTGCGGCAGGGACTGGATATAGGATTTGGCCTGAAGACAGAGAAGCATGAGTAACCCCCATGCCGGCCCCGGTGCCCAGGCCTGGGGTAGAGCAGTCTGGAAAAGCCCGGCAGGGCTGCGGCCCCGGGCAGTCCACAGCGGATGAAGGCAAAGCACCTGCCCCGGCAGCGGAGCCCAGGGAAGCCCTCCTCCCCAAAGCCTGCAGCCGCCCGCCCCGCCCGCTGCCACTCACCGCTTTGTCCTTCAGCTTCTGCACAAACTCTGGGCCTGGCACCCCGGTCACCTTCAGGATCTGGGTCAGCTGGTCCAGGTCTCGGCAGCAGGTTAAGGCTCAGCCTCACTCGCTTTTGGCGGATCTGGAGCTGCCCTTCCCGCCGGCCTCCAGCACCCCCACCCAGCCCTGCGGCGGCCACCCCGGCTCCAGGCACCTCCCCGCCTCCTGCCTCCTCCTGCTTGGGGAGAGGAGGTTCATCCTCAGGACTCAGGTCTCTGGAAGGCTCCCCCGCACCCCGACCCCCCCGCCAGGCCAGGGTAAGGGCCCTCCCACAAGTGCTGCTGGCCTGCTGCTCTGGCCCTCATCCCACCGGGTCACCAGGCCCCTGTCGTCTCCCACCCTCTCACTCTGCGTTGGCAGGTAGACCGCCCCCTCCCATCAAGGCCTGCACGGCACACGGCCTCCCCGAGTGTGTGTGGCCAACATGTGAAGAATGCCCTGCGTCCTGGTGGAGAGACGGGGGCTGCCTTTCACCGTTTCCCCACCTGCACGTTAAGACTGTTCTACAGTGAGCATGTGTCCCTTTCACACGAAGAAAAACAGACGTAAGGAAGAAAGTGCCTGTTGAAGGGATGGACCCCTGGATGGAGGCTGGCCTTCCCAGCAAAGGATACAATCCTTCCCCTTGAACAGCGTTTTCCCCGTCAGCATCTCCGCCATGATGCAGCCCACAGACCAGATGTCCACTGCAGGGAGGGAGGGAGCGTCACCTGCACCGCTGACCACGGCCGGCGGGCAGCC